TTTTTGAATTCAAATCAATATTTTTAAATAAATTTATTAATTAAGCATTAATAAAACTTTAATATTTTATTTATTAGATTATAAAAAATATATATTTAAAGTTTTATCTCAATTAAATTATTATTTATTGAATTATAATAAAAAATATCCAATTATTTTTGTTACACATTGTATCTTTAATGAATTTTCTAAGAAATATAAAAAAAACAATTACGTTGAATAGAAATTTCTAAATGAAAAAAAAATCAATTATCTTCATTATTTTCTGATTTAATTAATTTGATGATTTCATTAAATTTTTTATCTAACTCATCAATTTTTTCTAATTTTTCTAATTTTTCATCTAACTCATCAAATTTTTTATCCAACTCATCAAATTTTTTATCCAAGTCGCTAATCTTTTTATCAACATTTTTTTCATATTGAACAATTTTTTTAATAGCATCAGACAGATGTGGTCGTGATACTTCTTCATATATCTCATTTTCCACTTTCTTAACGTACCTTGTGAGTTCATCGATGGATGCTTCGTAATATCTGAGAAAAATTATCGGGTTAGAAACTCAGAATTAATCTTCGAAGTAGGAATACAGTATAAAATACAAAAATTACAGAGTCTTCGGAAACCAATTTTCTTTTCTTCTTTGATGGGGCAACATCCAAAAAAGTTCAATCTCCGCCAATATCTATAAGTAATAATTAATATAATTGTTGCAATTATTATTGAATTATATATAAATAAAATAGAGTTGTACCTCTCCCCTTAGGTGCAGGAAAGATTCTTCATTATTTCTTAAATCGATCGCCGTATTAAGTAAACCAATAAGTAAATTCAACAAATAGATCGTTGTAAAAAAGGAAAACAAGGCCAACAAAACCATCAATGTCGGATTGTGATTTAAGGTCCACAAAGAGACTGAGCTTCTATCTCCTGTAATGAAATTATAATTAACCTAAATTTATATATAACATATACTGTATATACAGTAATCATGTCATACCTGTTAACATAAAATACACTGCTAATACAGCGGTATGAAATGATACAAACAAGTTTGTATTTTCGTCAGGATTTGTAATGAGAGATTGTTGGCCAATAATATTATCAGAATTGATAGAACGATATTTTGTAACAAGGTTCCAAGGGTTGTTTGCGTCATCGGTATAACTTGGTTGATCGTAAGAATATTCGGTGGTGGGTCTTAACAAGAGATGTAAAGAATGGGAAAATGCCAGAACGATAATACCCAGAACAACAAGGAAATAAAAGACATGTTGTGCAACTCCAATCATAATCGCAAAATATTTTCCAAAGTCATCCAGCACACGAAAATAAAATAAAAATTTGAGCTCGAGCACAAGTGCAGATATAACAATAATCCATAATAACGGACTTCCATCAATCAGCCATATAAATGAAGTTATTGTTGGTAGCAATAAAGCGGCAATGTCTGTAAAATTATTTAAGTTAGCACACATAACATAATAAATATCAAATTACAGTATACATGGAATATTAATTATACAAACCAAACCAGTTCCAAGGACTTCTGAAATAATCTTTTGGACTGTGGATAAATTGACGAATTTCGAAAGTAAACTGAAAAAGTCCAAGAATAATTGTTGCCAGTAAAAGAGCTTCTTGGTTTTTCCATGAGATTTTATTTTGTGGAATTGTCGCGATTGTGACAAAACATATTAAAAATACCGAGTAAATTGCCCACATTAAATAATAATAATATTTTCCATAAGTGTTCCACTTGAAATTGACAAGAGCCTTAATGTTCCACCATTTGTAATACTCTGGAGAGTCTAAAGAGGTAAAAGAGTTGCCGCGTAAATAAATCAACTCTTTATAGATAGAATAATTTTTAGGGTAAGTGGCAAAACTCAATAAAGGTATCATTAGCCAAACGATTTTTTTAGGAAAGGTATGATTTTTTTTTAGAAATTTCCAATTATCCGAAATCCCGAAAGAGACACGATTGAAATGCGAAGTATAAGATAAGTATGGCAGGGAAACATAAGTTCCGTAATGGTCAGGGTGTAGCGAAGTAGATGAGTCATCCAGAGCACCTAGATAAGCATCAGGAACTAATAATGCAGTCTTAGATAAAAAACGTTCTGTAAATCTATAATTCTTGTCGTAAGATTCTAATTCTAAAAGCGTAAAAGCAATTTCATCTATTAGTTTAATAAACTTGGAAATATCGCCCTCCTGAAACCGCCGTAAACTCTTATCAAGAATGTACCCAAATAGATCCTTAATTTGTTCATCTTTATTTTCTTTAATTAATTTATGGATCAGTTCTGCTCCATGTAATTCCAACAATAATGTATCCTTCATAAACTTTTCTTTTAACAATCCCATACAAGTATAATCTCGTCGATTATAACCCGATGGATCATAAAACATGCGATCTGAATACACTGGATGGTATGGATACTTAATAACTTGGTCAAAGTATGTTGAAGGCAACATGTTCCTAGAGTCCTTATATTTTTTGAATTTGTTTTTGAGAATTTCAAGTTGCTCAATTAAAGCTTCTTTCGCCATCTTCGATGAAAGTTCATCATACGTATCCACGTTGACCCAATAATAAAGTAAAAAAATCTCCAAACTAACATTTACTGTCCAGATCTGTATGCCGAAAGAGGAAATCAACATTAAATCTCTGTTTTTAAGCTGTTTGAACTCTATATAAATTCCATTTGCATTCTTTTGTAAAGGTACAATTACTCCGACCTGCTTTCCCTTAGTCTCAGTCTCAATCTTCTTATTATGGATAAACATTATTGAAACTTCTCTCTCAGAAAACTTAACTTCCCAGGGACGTATCTCTTCATTTGATTCATATGTCTTTAAAGTGTCGAAATCTTGAGTCATATCTTCCTTTGATTCATATGCTTTTTTTAAAGTGTTTTCTATTGTTTCTATTATTTCTTTTTCACAAGAATGTGAATCAATTCTATTATATTCTCCAGATTTCTCTTTTAAGTATTTGACCCATTCTATATTTTGAGACAAGCTTTCGATCTTTTCCAAACAATCTTCATTAAATTGTATAATATAACCAGGAATAATGGAATCACGCTCATTCATATGACCAGGAATAATAAATTTACTATCCATCAATTCAGATCTCAATAACTTTGATAAATCCATTTCGTCTGAAAGGGTGTGTGGATTCATAACTATCGTATGATAACCTCTTTGATGGATAAGCAAATGTTCCTCTTTCTTGGATCTAATAAAATTAATATTGGTTTTTCCGAAGATTCCAAAACGTCTTTTTGATGAATCTATTAATAAAATTCATAGATTAGTGGTTGAGTTAGATGGTTTATTCGTACATAATGAGTACTTACGCTTTGCTATCATTGTACATGATTCTGTAGAATAAACATAGACATTAAAAATTAATTTCATATTATATGGATTTTTAGGTATAAGTTCAATCGATTTTAATGGATCTGGAAGTAGAAATCCGGATATTGCTAACAGTGTGCTGTCACTGTTTAACTCCATTGAAATGCCGTTATGATGCCAAAACAAATACTTATAATCAAACTTTTCCCAAGAAAAATACTCATACAAGATCCTTTTCCAAGACGAATACCAAGACAAATTCCAATTCAATTCGTATTTTGCCTCAAACTTCAGTGTTTCCAAATTCCATTGCATGATCACCAAAGGTATATCCAAGAGAACCAACAATCTTTCCTGAGAAATAACGCAACTATCAAACTTTAAAAGTTTAATGCTATTTGTGTGATGCCACTGATTTTCTTTATTGGAGAATATGTAGACCTGATAAACAGGTTCCCCTTTAACGATCATCAATCTTCCATCTTTAAGAAATGTAGCATCACAAGTTCTTCCTTTTAAACCTTGAGCATTCAATATTTTCTTGGACTTGGTTTTAATATCAATTATTTCTATTTAATGAACAAATCATATGCATTACTAAAAAGACACAATCACAACTTTAGGTTTAACGCCAGACTTACCAAAGTCGTAAGGTGTATCTCTATCAATCCTTAAGAGAATATGTTTGCAATCTGAGACTTTTGCTAGTCTCCATTTTGAAATTAGATTTTTAAGGTCAAGTGAATTATCGGAATTCCCTTTTATGAATACCTTTTTTAATTTGGGCTCTCCTTTTTCTCCTTCCACGAACTCCCACATGCAAACAGATTGATCATATTTAACCATGTCACGGGAAAGGATAACATTATCATGTTGATTACACGAAGTTGCAACATATTTCATCTTTGGTGAATAAACAAGATTTGTTATTTTTTTAGAACATGCTTCTGATTCATCAAGTAACGAGTTTAAATCTATTTCATCTTCATCATTCGAAATTCGGTCATCCTCATCATTCGAAATTCGATTATCCTCATCATTCGAAATTCGGTCATCCCCATCAATCGAAATTATGTGTTCCCCAGAGGCCAGTTCATTCATTTCTGTAGAATACTAATTGATATACGTTTATCCAAATGCTTTATTTATAGAGGAATTTCTTAAGATCAATCCAATTTGCGCACGCAAGGTTGGACACACTGAAGTACTGTATATACCATTACGTGTACAAATTATTCATCTTTGCATGGTGATTATAACTTTATATGTATTCTAAATAATAGGTTATTCAATATCATTCTATGAAATCATTTATGGAGGGTACAATAAGTAATACAAATTTCTTCGGAGATAAAGACACCGACTTGTAAACAAGGAATGTAAAAAACCGGATGTGTAATTGTCTATTTGTCTTAATTGCCAATGCAGAAAGTCAAAATGTAGTATATGCGATACCATTAAGGTGTCACCTACACTGCACCTTAACCGTCACGCCACTGATACTTGTCAAATTTGTAAATCACTTTGGACAATTTGGTAAAATGGTCTCATCGGTTTGACCAGAGATTATGTATCTTCTTTATGAATTGAGAATAAGATCAAAGAGACGGACTATATAGAAACAATACAAGGTGAAACAAAACTCCGAATGTCTGTTGATGTATGATCGGTCTATTCTTAATCTTATAAAGTTATATTATAAATAATATACTGTATTAAAATATATATATTATTTAAAAAATTATTTTCTAATATTTTCTATAATATTAGATAACATATTTTGTTTATTTTTTAACAGTAATATTAAATTATTTTGCTACAATATATTTGAATTAATTTTCTTTAATTATTTTTTTTGTTCTTTTTTTTGTTCAATTGTTTTTAATTTAATATTATATATTTTTTAACTGAATTTAGTAAAAGACTATTGTTATTAAAATCTTTTTATTTAATATATATATTAATAATTATATAAAATAATTAATTATAACAATTTAATTAAATACTTACAAAAAAATATTCAATACAATATTTCATTTGCTTTTTAAAATAAATAATATTTTTGAATGAAAAAGTTAAAAAAATATTATATATAACAAGTATAAATATACAATATTTATTACTAAAGTAAAAACAAATATTTTAAAAAAAGTTATATTTGCAATTGAAATTATTTAATAAATATCTTTATCATTTAATTGAAAAAATAAATAATAATATTTAAATATTTTTATAAACTTTTTTTATACTATAATAATAATTAATAAAATATTTGTTATATTGCTATTTGAATATTTTATAATATTATATCTTGATAATTTTTCATTTTTGTTAAAAACTTTTGTTTTAATTGGATTCAAATTAAATTAATAAATAAAAAATACTTAAATTATTTTATTTACACTTACTATACTATATTATTTACTATAAAACAAATTTGTAACTGATTAAAACTTAAATTAAATATATATTCAGAAAAGTTTATTTTAACATATTTATATAAAACATTTTTCAAAATACTTTGATTTAAATAAATAAATCTCAAAAATAAATATTTAATAATATTAAAATATATTATTTCCTAAATATTAAAAAAATATAAAATTAATAAATTTTATTTTAAATTTTATAAATTAAAATACTTACATTTATTACATAAGAGTAAAAATCTTAATAATTTGATTTAATTTAATTTGATTTGATTCTTGATTTTTAAATTTATATTAAATTTAATATATAGATTATAATTTACTATTATTTTTAATAATGTTTTAATTTAAATCTTATACAAGTTTATATAAATTTGTTCAATTTTAATTTTTATGATCATATTTAAAAAGTAAATCTGTTATCATTTTTTTCATTTTTTAATTTTAGTCTTAATCTCTCAAATATTATTCTTAAATCTTTTTATTAAAAATTAAAGTTGATATTATTACAAAAAAAAATTTTTTATTAACTTATTAATTATAATATTACTGTTCTTTAAAAAGATATACTATATATATATATAATGAAATGTAATTAAAAAAAATTATAAAAAGTATTATATTATTTATTGATTCTTTTTCTTATGATCTTTTTTAATTTTTAAATAAAAATAATAATTTGAGATTTTTATCAAATTAACAAAATATTAATTAAGAAATTTAATATATTGATATTTATCTTTTTAAATTTTAATAAAATTAATTTTTTAAAAAATATCTAGATTGTAATTATTTATTTGAATATCAATAGAATAAAAATTACAATCTTAAATATTACTATTGATTTGTAAGGAATTATTGATTTTTACTACTTATTATCAAAAAAATATTTTGTATATTTATAAAATTTTTGTTGAATCTAAAATATAATTATTATTATAAGTATAAGTAGACTAGTGGGACAATATTTTATTATACATTAGTAATATAATAAGTTTGAATAATAAAAAAAATATAATAAGAAAATAAATTATTTTTATTATTTATTGTTTTATATTAAATTATTATTATATAAAATTAAATAATTAATAAATATAATATTATAAAAAATTTTAATAATTAATAATTAAATAAAAGTATTTATATTTAAATTTATTATTACATTTAATAATAATTATATTATTTGTTAACTTATATAACTATTTTTTGATATACTGTATAATAATAATAATTTATAATTAGTAATTTTAATTGAAAAAAATTTTTCTAATTAATTTGTTGTTTTTTAAATATAATTAAATAATTGCAACTAAAAATTATAAATTTTGATTAATTAATTTTAAACTATAATTTTAAAAATTAAACTTATATAAGATTTGAAACACTATTAATCCATATATTAAATTTAATATAAATTAAAAAATTGAAATTAAATTAAATTGAATTATTAGTATTTAAAACTTTTCAATCAATTGTTTATAATATTATTTGTGATATACATGTGTTTATATTTAATTCAGACATTTTTCAAAAACTATATTATATTTGTATTACTAAGTAACAATTAATAAATAATTGAAAGTCATATTTAATTTAAAATCATATTGTCAATTAAAATTTTCTTTTATAGTAATAAGAAAACATATATAATTTGTAATATATAATAATTATATATATAGTTAAATTTCATTATACTGAACTTCATTATATGAGTGACGCCAAGTGAAAACCTGTAAATCTAAATATAAATTTTCATTGTAGCAGATTCGACCCTGCAGAATTTTATGTCATGTGACGATCGACATTCTAGTAACATTAATAAATGAGTGACATAATTCAGTAACACGTAAATCATTTTTAAAAATTTGTTTGCACTATGCCGTAAAACATATTGACAGGTAGGAACAATGTAGTAATTAAAATAAATTTTTTTTTTGTTCATTAAGAGTTGTTATTTACATCAAGATCGTGAAAAAATTCAAAAAATTTTTTTATTTACTTATATTTAATTCACTATAGATTAAGGCGAATATAACGAGCTCAAGGTATTAAATCGATATTACAAAATTTAACAAAAATTTTGATGACAAAAATAATTTTTAGAACAATAATTTAGAACTAAAGGATAAATGGATATATTCGATTGGTTCAGATACTGATGTTATAAACATTATAATAAAGCTCTTCGAAACTTAAGATTCTATATCCATAATATTAAAAGTTGAATCATTAGTAATTGATCTTTTTAGAATATACAATAGTAAATAAATATGTAATAATATTCACCACTTTAATTATCCTAATGCCACCACTCGTGATATTCTGCTGTTGAAAATGCCTCATGACTATAGTTAAACTTAATTTCGCAGCAATCGAGTATTGCCGTATCAAGTATTGTCGTAAAATAACCTTAATATACATTTTCAAGTTTAAATGAAGGTGCCAAGTTAAAAGTGATCCATCGATCTGGATTTTTCTCCATTCCTGCTATTGATTAAAAAAAAAATCTCTTTTAAATGTGCAATTGAAAATCAGAGTATACGTGCATTTTGGGAATGTAGTAATACCTGAACTGGTAAGTCTTTTGCCAAAAAATATGTTAGGCTAACACCCTTAAATATGAAGAAATTAATATGCATTTTAATAAGTGTTAGAAAAGGATTTTCGATGAAATTTTTATTAGGATAATCAAGATCCAAGACATAGTAAATCATATGATTAAGACCACGACTTTCTTAGTAATGATTCCAAATATTATCATTACATGAATAGAAGAATTCCGATGTGATAACATGTTCTCTTTCCATCGTAAATACGAAAAATAGATCCATGATTTAAAAATAAAAACAGACTAAACGAAATTAGAAGGATGAATTCAACACTGGGTAGACATAAGGGGATCGAGAAGTTTTAGACTGAGAGCTTACCAATTATAATAACTCGAGTAACAAGAGTAATTAAGGCCACGAAGATTTTATTGATATAATAAGCTTCTTTATAAAGAGTTAATAATCCGCATTTCAGCTATATTAAATGTATTGAACCTCATCTAAGAAAATAATCTAAGCTCAAAGAATGATTTATATAAAGAAGATATCTATAAAATATGATAAAAGGAATGTAGATACCTTAATCATATTATATGGCTCAATATAACCTAATTCTATATTATAATAAAAGAAATATTAATTGCATACATTTTAAGATATCCACAATTTAAATTCTCTTACCTTGATAGTGTAATATGAATTAAGCCAGTGTTGATATTTTAGGTTATAATTATTACAAAAATTATAAGTCATATAGTTGTAACTATAATGAATTAATAAATTTTTTAAAAAAACTCTTTCCCACTCCCCCTTTCTATGCTTGAAAATTTCTTTTTTAGGAAATCTTTGAGTTGTTTACTCTTTTCTTGCCTTCCCTTTTCCCTTCTCTCTCTGTTCCTTCCCCATACCTCTTTATTCACCTTCT